AGCTGCTAATTGCTGCCGCTGGCGGCCCAACCGACGGCGGCTGATTGACAGGCGGCGTCTCTCCGGCCGGGCAGCGGGGCTAATTGCAGGTGCTTCGGGGCGGCGACGTCGGAGGAGGCGGACGAAGCGGCGGCGGCTCTGGCAGGGCGCAGCGGCGCGAGTGCCTCGAGAGCCGCTTCCCAAGCCACCCCCCCTCCTCCTCCGCGCCCCCCTCCGCCGCTACCTTCCGCGGCTCCGATTATTATTATTTTTTTTGATCGACGCCGTTTCTATGGCCACTACAAAGTTGGGGTTTATTGTTTGGACGGGGCTTATATAGGGGGGGCTGGAGCCCCGCAGATAGAGAGCCCCGCGCGGCTGCCAGCGCTGCAGCCTCCGGTCCCTGACTGTCCGGCTCCTCCGCTCGCCGCGGCAAATGGTAAGCCTGCGACTGGGAGGACGGCTGGGGACGCGGGGGGGGAGGACCGGGGAAGTGGGAGCCCCCCCCCCGCCCCGTTTGGGTAACCAAAAGGGGGGCCTCCCCTGCCAGCTCCGGGCCCCCCACCCACGCTCCCCCCCGGAGTGCCTCCCCGTCGGTCTGTCTGACGCCCCACTCCTTCTCTCTCTGCGGCAGGCCCAGCCGGACGGGGAGGCGCTGCCCGGTGCCCTGGAGAAGGATGAGGCGCGCTCGGGAGCCAGCACGCCGTCCACGCCGTCCGTCTGCTCCCCGCCGTCCTCGGCGTCCTCCTCCCTCCCGTCGGGGGCCAAGAACATCTGCTCCAGTTGCGGCCTGGAGATCTTGGACCGGTACCTGCTCAAGGTGAGCTGAGCCGGGGAGGGGAGGCAGGATGGGGGCTCCGGCGAGCCGGCCGCGGGAGTCTTCCCTCGGCCGCCCCCGGCTGCTTACCGCCGCACCTTACCTGGCTCCCTTCTGCCGGCAGGTGAACAACCTCACCTGGCACGTCCGCTGCCTCGAATGCTCCGTGTGCCGAACCTCTCTTCGCCAGCAGAACAGCTGCTACGTGAAGAACAAAGAGATCTTCTGCAAGATGGACTACTTCAGGTAAGGGAGTCCCTCGACGCGGGGGAAGGGCTTCTGGCCAACCTGGAGCCCCCGGGCTTGGCACCGCTGCTGCCCACACCTGCAGCGGAACCCCCGGACCCTTGACTCCGGAGGGAGAAACTCCTTTGGGGCAAGATGTCTTCTGGAGCCATGGGTCCCTCTGGGAAAACGCCCCCCCCCCTCTAGAGTTGTGAGTAGCCTGCCTCCACAAGTGGTGCGCTGCAGAGACTGGCTGTGTATTAACTAGTCCTCTGACACGGGTTGTGTGAACGAGACTGCTACAGTCAAGCCCCCTCTTGATGGTTTTGAAGTGGGAAAGAGGTTGATGCCCCCTTTGTTTTCAAGCGCTTGCAAAGGCCCTTCGGATTCGCTTCGCTTTGGCCACTGCCACCTGCTGCTGCGGTGTAATCCCGGTTAACCCAGAGTAAAAGGGACCGAAGTCTCTCACGGGCGTCCTGAGCCGAACTTCTCCCCGGGAGGAGTTTTGCAGGGCAAAGTGGCTGGCCGGCCACTCCGCGCTTCGGAGAGGGAAAGGGCTGGAGGGGGCGCAGGTAATTTTCATTTGGTTTTCCAAGAAGGTGGCTGTAATTTCGTTTGAGGCCGGCTGGGGCCTTTCCTTAGGGGCAATCCCACCCTCCGGGATCGGGTGCCTTTTCACCGCAGACCTGGTCGGACCTCGGGCGACGCCTTCCGCGCTCCGGTCGCTTTGAGCCCGTCTGAACCTCTGGGTCTGGAGCGGGAGGTCCGCGGGGTGCGGGACGCCGAGGCTGGGGCTTAGACGGCCGGGCAAGAAGGGGGGGGGGGGGGAATCCATCCGCGTTGTGCCGAGGAGCTGGCGAGCGCGGCGGGGCTGGTTTCGTTGAAGGGGCCACATCCGGCTTCCGGCTCTTTTGGGGCAAATGTTCGCCGAGGAAGTCCGCTGGAGGCTGGGCTGGCTCCCAGCTGAGAGGACTGTCGTCGGATGCGACGCGGCGGCGGCTTCTCTGGATCGGGACCAGCCCCTCAGTCCGCCTGGATCCCGGTTCACAGGAGGCGGGAAACGGATTTCGTTGGAGGACTGGAGCGACCGCAGCGAGGTCTCCCGGGACTGGGCGGACCTCTCAAGAGGCAGCTGGCTGCAGCTCCGGTGCCCCCGTGAGCGCGCCGCTGGGGGTTCGACGCCACCGAGGAGGAAGCGCGACGGCACCGCGTTTGACACACCGGAGGGGACCATCCGGAGACCGAGAGGCCTCCGGCTTGGGACACTTTGGCTCTTTACGAGCTTACACCGCGGGGGCCCTCCTCGCCCCCCTCCCCGCCCTCGCTGACTTTCCAGCACCCCGAGGGGGCGAAGCCGAATCGAGCTCAGCCACTGGCTTGGCTGGCCAGGCCGCGATTTCCAGGCCAGGCGCTCCGGAGGAGGAGCGGAAGCCGCCAGGACGTCCAGGAACGAGACCAGGGGAGAGGACCGTCGGAAGACCCTCCAGACTCCCAGGGAAGCATCGGACTCTTCGAGAGGACCCCGGGCACTCAGACAGCTAGGAGAAGCCGAGAGCCCCGGGAATTATCATTACGAATCAATCATGTTTATTGGGGGTGGTGCTGCTGCTTTGGATTTCTTGCACAACTGCAGTCTCCATCGGTAAACTGATCGGCGAAATTACCTTTAACCTCTCCCCTTTTCCACCGACCCCCCCCCCCACACTGTCTAATTTGTTTTTTAAAAATGACTGGGGGCGGGGGGAGGGCTTGAACTGGCCACAGGTAAGAGCCTCTCTTTGGTGGGACTGAAGGTCTTGCAAGGAACGTGTGCGCCACCAGTGCGCCGGGACGAGCGGCGGCCCTCCTCGTTGGCCCTTCCGTCGCCGCCCGTCCTTCTTCTGAGAGGACTGACAGTCCGGCAGCCTCTGGGGTCTCCCTCTCCGGTCGCAGTTTCCGCCCTCGGAAGTTTAGGAGGGGCAGGCTGGGGTGGGCGGGCGGACCCTCTCCGGGCTTGCCCTCGGGGCTGGCTTGGCAGCGGTGCCCTTGGCGGCTCTCCGCCCTCGCCGCTGGGACAGGACGGATTGCTGCGCCGCCTGTCTTCGACGGAAATGCAAGCCCCCGGTCCCTCCTTGCCACTTTTCGTGGCTTTTGTGTTCGGCCAGCGTCGAGGGAAAGGCCTCCTCCGACCTTCCCGAGTCTGGCTCGGCTGGAAAGCCGTCTGGCACAGCTCGGTCGGTTTTGCCCCCGCACCGGAGAGTTCCGGGTAGGCGTTCGGGGGGTCTTCCCAGCTGCGCTTTCTGGAGCGACAAGGATGTCCGAAGCCCGGGCTCCGTCGAGAGCCAGCCTATGCATTCACGATGGCCAGGCTGCAGGCTCGCGCCGGAGAATTCGCCTCCCTCCGAAGACGACGCCCGGCCACTCCCGCCAGGCTCCCCAATCCTCAGCCGATTCGTTAGGAAAAGAGAGATTCCTGCAACGGTGCAGAGTGGCAGAGACCGCTGCCCCCGACCACGGGGTCACCGAGCCTTTCGCAAACGCGGCTCCTGCTGAGCCTTCCCTAGCTGGAAATGAATCCGAAGCGGCTCTCGTTTGCATCGACTTCGATTTAAAAACGCATTCCGCCCAGAGGAGAACCAGAGGATGATGGGGAACGCCACTCTTTCGAAGTAGTCCCTTGAGAGCTAGGAAGCCAAACCGCGGGAAACCATCCGACGGGCCGTCGTTCCCCCCCACCCCAACTGCTGGTTGGGGCGGGAGGCTCTCTTCGCCGGGCTGGCCGAGGGGGCTGCAGCCTGGACGGGCGGGCAGACTCGCGGCCGGCCGAAGAAAAGAGGGCGCTTTGGTGTCCACCTTTCGGCAGGCGGATTCGACGGGCGGCGGCATCCTCCTCCTCCTCCTCCTCGGGGCTGGCCGGCTCTGCGCAGAGAAGCCGGCTTCAGGGCAGGGCGGGAGGCAGGCGCCGCGGGGCGGGAAGCGCTGGCCGAGGGCAACGCCCGGCATCGTGCCCTGGAAGGCGGCATTTCCCACGCGGGTCAGGGGCACCGGCGCCTTCAGCCTTGCGCGGCGCGGAAAGGCAAACGCCTGGCCGGCCTTCCCCAGCGGATGCCGATAGCCCACGCCACGGCCGGGCGTTGTTCTGCGGCTGACCCGATCCTCCAAACTCGCGTCTGCCTCCTGTCCTCCGGGGTCCGTCGGAAGCGCTCCTGTCTCCGGGGACTGAAGCGCGCCAACCCGGACTCTGCGGGGGCAAAACTTAGTTCAGCCCACGAACAGCGAAACCGCTGCGCGCTCGGGGTGGCGGAGTTTAGATGCCAGCCGAAAGTAGACGGCTCCCTCCACCCCCCAAATGTGTCTCGCCCGCCAGCAGCAGAACCGCGGCCCGGGAGTTGACCCCTGCTGTCTGCCGGCCGGCCGGCCGAGAACTGGTGGGAGCTGGGCCTAAGGCTTTGCCGAGCCGGCGCGCTCTCCGAAGGCAACGGAACGCCGGCCGGGGCAGAAGAAGGAGCGCGGATCCCGCGGGAAAGGTTTCTGCTCTCCCCCTTAAAGATTCCCCGGGGCAAAATACCGCCCCCTTGCCCCCTAAACCCTTTGGGTATATGAAGCGTCTTTCTAAGGTAGCGTCTGTTTTCGAGGGCACACGCATCCGGCGCTGTTGTTAATATTTTGCCCTGCTGCATGGGGGCAAGGTCTCTAATTCTATACTCTGTCTGTACATCCATGTACACACCTGTACCCACTTGTAATAAACAGTTCTCGTTTTTTAAAATGTATGACAGTCACCCCCTGAATTAATTTTGTCTTTAAACGCTCACATAAGAAGCCCCAGGAAACCTTGAAGGTGAAGCGATGTATTGAGGCTTGAGGATGCTTGGCTCCTCCATCTCCAGAGTTCCTTCACCCCTCCATCTAATCTATCTGTGTTTTAAACAGGTTAGCCAGATGGGCCAATTTCTATACCTTAGAATGGATACCCCAACCTAGTATTTTAAAAAAAACTGATATGTTTCTATTATATATAGCAAGCAGGGCTTGATAAAAATTTCCCAGACCTGCTGGGTACTAATAAGTCTCTCCAGAGGCAGCTTCCAGGAGCCTTGCTTTGGACATGCGGCTGCTGTCTGCAGAACCCAGGGACATTAGGCATTCTGCTCTAATCCAGTTTAATTTGACACTTCACTGCACACAGGGGATCCCAAAGAGATAGCTTGTTGCTCTAACCTAGTATTCCCTTCATTGTCTCCACATCATTCAGTTTCAGAGCTCCACATCATTCCTCCCACAAATTACTAAAAATAACAGTGGTAAGATGCCGCATCTCTCTGGAGTCTTATATGAGAGAAGACGGAGTTTATCGGGGCTACCAACAGATGCCAGGATGGTGCCGATAAAGCAGGCATCTTAAGTTTTACAGTAAGCAGGACTGCCCAGTGCTCATCTTGCACCACCCTGCAAATGTTTCTCCCTCTTTTCTCTTTCTAGAGGATTCATTTATCTCCCTCCCATAAATATTTTTAATTGGTTCTAGGAAGGGGGGGAAAATAAAAATTGAAACAAACAATACATAGAAGACAAGGGGAAGCACTGTGGGGTCTGTGTAGCTTTAATAAGAATTAAAGTTTGGTGTGGGCCTTTGATGCCCTGGTGGTGACAGAAAGACTTGTACAAGATCAGCCTGAGCCAAATGCGGGTTGATCGTCCTTATTGTGCATACATAGTCTCTGGTTACCCAAAATTCTTTGATGGCTGGAACAAGGAAAGGTAGCTCTCTACAAAGAGAAGCCAAACATACAAGTGCCTGCAGCTGTTTTGAGTAAATGCTTTAGAAGGAAATGAAGACCCTCTTTATGTTTACAGGGCTCGGTAGCTGATATATAATAAACTTAAAGCCGGCGTTCGATTATATTCTGTGCCCTGTTGCAGAATGCTTTAATGGTCCCTCCCCTTCAATTTGCTGCTGTATTGTCTAGAGAATCTGAAGTGGGTAATGGCATTCTGGCTTCCCTGGAATGGGGAGGGGGGGTATTTTTTTGGCCTTTTAAACTGTCAACTCATTAGAGATTTTTTAAACAATTAGACCAATCGTCTGGCTTTTAATTGGTTGGATTTACATAAATGTGCATATACTGCTTTGATATTGATGTATCTTTGGAGGAGGAAGGTTGAGAACTTCTGAGAGGTATCCATGAAAGCCACCACTCTGTGTTGGAGAATCACCGCCATCTGCTTTTTCACGGGCTTTTACACAGTGGCATGGCAAAGCCAAAAATGGCTTTGTGCACAACATTTTACAGGCACTTTGGCACTAAGTTTGTCTGCAAACCGTCCATTTTAACAGCCTGTGACATTTTTAGCTAATGGGAAAGTCATGTAGTAGTTCCATCCTGAAAGATGGCATATTGGTTAGCTGTAAATGCAAACTGAGTTTGGTACTGCCATGAAGGAACTGGCATGGTGGAGCAGCCTGCAATCAAAGGGCAATTAAAAAAAAATTAGCCCTATTTTGGGCACATGTGAATTGTGCTAATGAGATATAGGAAGCAGTAGGGAGTGATTTTGAAAGGGAAGGAAGATCTCAGCCAGCGTAGGTACATTACGTTATAATTACAGATTTGGGTAAAGGGGGGGGGGACGTGAGAGAATGAAGCATCATGTGTGAAATGGCCACAGCTGGATGTGAGGTAGATGTGATTGAACCACATCAAATCCATGTCCATGTTTGCCACTGGTATGTCATCTTGTGTCAAGGGGAGTTACTGGAGAGAACCGGAGGAAAGGTAGCCACCTGGCAGCTCGCAAGGGTCAGACTTGGTTAAAAACACAATTAATATATATGCTAATTAAATTCATCTAACTATTCATGTACCACAGCCCCTCTTTAAAAAAAGAGAGATTGCCTGGAAGGAAGTCCAACCCTTGGTTCTAAAAACACTTTCTCTGGCCTGGCCTCAGAAGTGTGTGAGCTGATGGTGGATTTGTCCTTACTAGGAAGCAAAAAGCACAAGGTACATGCTCAGAGCAGCTCTTCTTGTTGATGTTCTCCTCTTTATGTTCCAGATTAAGCTCTGGCAGTTAAAAAAAACAACAGTATTGAGGCTTGACACCCCCCCCCCCAATTTAAATCTGAATGGCTTCAATTAAACCCACCCTGATTGCAGGGATGCTAAAGTTGAGGACAGTATTTAAAACTGAAGGCTGGATGCAGAGCAATTTGGTTGAGAGAAATCCCTGGGACAACATTGTAGCGTGGAGGTGGTTGTGGGAACATTTGGATTTGGCCACACAAGATCTGCAGTCTTGCACATTAGTTTTCCTGTGCTATGTTCTTTAAACTCGCCTTGGCCAACAGAATTCATCTTCTTTACATATGGCTCTTCAGCAGAGATGAATTGGCAGGTCCCTTTAAAAAAAAAGTTCTAGTTCCCATAGATTTCTCTTGATAAACATCATTGTTAATGATTTTGTTTCTGCAGTATCCCACTGATTGAGGTCTGTTGGTATTTCATGACACCCAGTTTTGACTTTGTTATCTGTTAATTAACTTTTTAAAAAAAGGAATATGCCACTCTGTCCAAAGAGGCAGCTAAGAGTCATACAAAAATACAATTATCATGTAAGACAAGTACAATTCACTAAACAAAACCTACCACTTATAGTCGGACGGAAAGGCCATCCTTATTATTTTGGAGTATTTGGAATCAAAGAGGAAAATATTTAACAACAATGTCCTCTACGCTTGTCATCATTGATTATAAACTTTCCCTTGCTGAGTGATTAAACTTTCTCCCCCTCCCCAATTAAAAGCCTGCAGCCCCAGGTAATGGTAGGGCCGCCCATGCTCCAGCATGTAAGCACTGCAGGTTTAATCAAAAGCCGTTTCTTGCTTGCCTGCGAGTGAGTGAGTGGGGAATGCTACTTCCAGGGATCTCGTCTTTCTGAATCTGTTGCAGGAATGAAAAATTAATTAACACGGCTCTCTTGTTTGTGCAGTTTGTGTAAACCAAGCGTTGCAAAGTCGGCTTGCTGCATTCCCCATATGCAAGGAATTAGAAAGACTCAGATGCGGCTGCTCCATGCTTTTCCTTCTTTTTTAAAATTGGCATCGGTTCTGCAAAAAAAAATTCACTTGCCCCCCCCCCAATTCTGGACCAGTCAGTTTGTACTTCGCAAGAGGGACATGGGATTGTATCGGTGCCAACTTGGGCAATGTTCTGGGGATTGATTTCTGTCATTTTGCTGTTGGTGATGGTTTTGGCCCAGGGCTTTCTCTTGTTACGTGAGTCCAGGTTGGGCACATGGAAGTTGGAGCTGCCAGAGAGAGGATGATTTGCCAAAAGCAGGCTGTTGTTCTTAGAGTCAGTTCCAGGATGCTTTTTAGATGTGTCCCCCCATCTGCTTTTGCCCCCAAATCTGGTAGAATTCCCTTGCAGGAATTGGAGTTTCACGTACTGAAAGTTTTGAATGACCTGATTCTCTGGCATTACTTGGGCCCAAATTTGCAAAGTCGAAAGGACCACTTGTCCAAACCACTTTCAGTCTGAAGACAGGACCATCTACCCAACAGAGCAATGGAGGCTGCCTGGAGCAGAATATGCCATGAGGGGAGTTGGTGCACATGGGCCACTTTTGCAGAGAGCAGAGTCTGAGGTGATTCACACAAATAAACCAGGGTTCTTTATAGGATTTGGTCTGGGAGATGATTCCTCCCATTCAAATGTATCTATGTTAACCCCCAAACAAGAGCAAAACCCATCCCCCAGAAGGTCTCTGCAAGGGACCACTCAACATCCTGTTACTAACTGTGACCATTTTGTGGAGGGAGGTAAACCTAACCTAGGGTTCAGCAACTGGACCTTATGGACCAAATGTGGCACCCTAAAGGGTGCTGTCTGAGTTGAAGGAGAAGGCCACGTCTATGGCAGCAGAACTGTAGGAGTGGCACAGTCAAGATGTTGGTCCATCACCCTTCACTTCCTTCTGACAGTAATCTTCAAGAACTCGTTATAACCATATGCAAGGAAGGGGGTGGATCCCTTCTGGACCAGTCACGGAGGAGAGCAGAAATATAAAAAGTAGCTGGCCATGATGATATGCCCCAGGGCCATGTAGAGAGTGGGGAGATGCCCCTACTGTAGGGGACAGAACATTTTCAGTTCCTGGTACACAGAGAGTTGGTAGGGCTCACCATGAACTAGGAGCTAGCCTCCTCGACCTGAAAACAGTCTCTAATACAAGTGATGAAGATTGAGTACTAGGGGACAAGCACTGGACACAATCTGCTTCAGTTCTTGTCTATCTTGCAATAAATTCATTTCATGCTAGAAACAGGGCCTTTACAGTTGTGGCCCTGAGGCTGTAGAACAATCTCCCTTCCAAACTGTTTGCATTTCAGAAATACTGTAAAACCTTTATTTCCTGTCTGGAAAGGGATTTCCTTTTAGAGAGAATTTTCTGTGGAGGAATGTTGGTGATATATTAGGTATTTTGTTTGCTTTTACCTTGATTTTAAAAAATTACTTTTATAGCTGTAGTTTTAATTTCTCTCTCTGTGTTGATTGTAAGTTGCCTTCAACACATGAGTCAAGTGGTATATCCATATTTAAAATAGAATAATTTATCAAGAGTCCCTTTGTACAAGCCCCATTCAGCTCAAGGATCTTCTCAATTGCCACCACTGTGAGCCAATTTAATGGTCATGACTTACTCTTTCATACCCTTATGCATTACAATTTTCATAAAATGACAATTCTTAGGATTCTTTGAAGGAAGATAGTTATGACATGTTCAATTGATACAGATTAGTAGTATGGGTATGCCTTCTGAGTATTGCCTCCAGATGGGTCTAATTTTGGGGAATCAGGTGTGTTGTTATGCCTCTTTTTTGAGGGCCATGTGGCTATGAAACACACCCTTGTTTCTACTGTTATCCTCTAAATTTCTCTGCCCTGGAAAGCTGTTTTGGGTTGTAAGCAGAGAACATGGTTAATGTATCCTTAGAAGAATATGACAATTTAGCAGAGCAGCTAGTCGATACAGCATGCACTGACTGTTTCTTTGCATTTCTCTCCTTGCAGTCGGTTTGGTACAAAATGTGCCCGTTGCGGCAGACAGATCTATGCCAGTGACTGGGTTAGGAGGGCTCGTGGCAATGCCTATCACCTTGCCTGCTTTGCTTGCTTTTCCTGCAAAAGGCAGCTATCGACTGGAGAGGAGTTTGGACTGGTGGAAGAGAAAGTCCTGTGCCGGATTCACTACGATACCATGATAGAGAACCTGAAACGTGCAGCGGAGAATGGTATGTGGACCCTCCGGGGTACTTGTTTGCCTTCTATGTGACTAGCAGAATTCTCCCACTAAATTAACTCCCCCTTACATCTGGGTAATGAAGAACTGGCACACAATGTCCTCCACAGAGTTCCGATAGGAGAAAAATGGTTACAGCTGGAATTAGCTTTTTCCCAAAAATTTGCTTCTGTGAAATTTTGATTTCAAATATTCTTCAGTGATTCTGTCAACAATAGACTGTTTGCCAAAAATGTGATCTCTGTATTTGACTTTGATTTCAGCATTTCCAATCCAGTTTTGATATTTTGCCTCATTATTTCATCTCTGACAGTTGGCATGGCATTCAGTCTCTGAACAGTAGGTGATACCTGAAAGCTTAGTAGTTTTTGTATTTAAGAGCTCCAGTAACTGAAAGAATTAAGAGATGCCACCAAGCCTAAACCACTTTGAGGTCTTCCCTTATTACACTGGAACTCAGAGTTCTTCAAAGCAGGGGGACAATTTGGAAGGCAAAGTTTCACGTTCAAGATTTGAGTTTCAGATCAAAATTTCATACTTTGCGTTTTTGGCAGTGAGATTAATTCTGCCAATTCTATTGCTAATAGTCATTTCAGAACAAGAATAAGGATACAGTAAAAAATCTGGATGGAGGTGGTGGTGGTAAAAATTGGATGTTTTATGAAGGCAGTTTCCTTAAAAATAGCTGCAAGGGGGCTTTGGTTATGATCAGAACTTTATGAGATGAAAAGTGCAATTTACCTTGGAGGAAATGGATCAGTTTGCAAACATGTTTTGTCACTCAATAGGTGAAGCATCCAGTTGGGATTCAAATTACAACAGAGCTGTCACAGATCTGAAACCATAGGCTCTGTTTCATGCTGCATGATGTCATCTCATCCACAGTGTTTCTTGATGGGAGGCCATTCAAATGTTTAGCTGTGAGTCAGCAACTGCCACACACATGCATGGGTGATCAGCTTTGCCTCCAAACAGCTTTCTGCTGGAAACTCAAAAAAAGAGCAGAGCTGGATTCAAACCTGGAGCCTTAACTTACAAGATCCTATTTAGTCATTTTTAGTACACTTGATAACAATCCTAATAACACTTTCCTGGGAGTAAACCCCATTGAATAGATACCAGTGCACCTGCTTGGGATTGCTCTCTGAAGTGAGACTCATTGTATTTTTGGTCATAAGAAAATTGCTGGATCATGTCAAAGATCCATGTAGGCCAGCATCCTGTTCCCAACAGTGACCACTTCTAAGAAGCATGAAAGTATCAGTCATCTCCTGCTCGCTACTTCCTAGTAAGTGAAGGACATTGTTTTGAATGTGGAGATTCCATTAATCTATTTGGTGTAGTGGTTAAGTACTCGGACTCTAATCTGGGAGAACCAGGTTTGATTCCCCACTCCTCCACTTGCACCTGGCTGGATGACCTTGGGCAAGATGTAGTTCTGATAAGAGCTGTTCTTGAAAAAGAGCAGTTTCTGTCAGAAGCACTCTTAGCCCCACCTACCTCACAGGGTGTCTGTTGAGGGGAGGGGAAGGGAAAGGAGTTTGTAAGCTGCTCTGAGATACTTTTGGGTAGTGAAGGGTGGGGTATAAATCCAATCCCCCCCTCCTCCTCCTCCTCCTCCTCTTCTTCTATCAAACCTTATAGCCACTGATAGCCATCATGCTTTAATCTGTGTGATCCCTTCTTAAACCCATCTAAGACAGCAGCTGCCATCATATGTTATGGCAGTGAATTCCATATGTTAGCACGTCAATGTATTTTGTGAAGAAGTATTTCCTTTTTCCTGTCCTGAAAACAAATACTGCCCATCAGTGTAACTGGGTGATCCTGAGTTCCGTTACGACACTGTGAATATTTCTATCCATTTTCTCCACCCTCTGCATAGTATTATATACTTCTATCATGTCCTCCTCCTTAATCATATTTTTCTGCATTGAAAAAGCCCATATTCTTTAGCCATAATTTGTAGATAAGGTGCTCTGATCCCTTGATTATTTTGGGAGTCCTTTGCTCTATAATGTCCTTTTTTGAGATTAGGGGAGGAAAACTGTATACTCTGTTCCACATGCAGCTGCGCCATAGATCTAAACATTATAATACTGAGTATTTTATTATTTTAATAATTCCTAGCAGAGAATTTGTCTGTTGAACGAACGCTGAGGTGATGTTTTTGTTGTGCTGCCCACTGTGATTCTGAATATCTTTACGGGAGAGATGCAGCCAATTCGGCTCCCCTCAGTGAACATGTAAAGTAAGGATTTTTATTTTTGCCTAAAAGACATTGCTTGACACTTTGGATTTAATTTGCTGATTGACTGCCCATGGATCCAGTTTGGAGAGGTTCTTTTAAGAGTCTTTATTAAAAGCTTATTGGTAGTCTATTGGATCAATCCATTAACATGTTTGTTGACACTTTAAAAAATTCTAAAAGGTTGGTGAGGCAAGAATTGCTTTTGCAGTAGCCAAGCGAATTCTTTGTCTGGAAGGCTTGCACTTCTCTGGTCGATAATTCAGTCTGTAGCAACGTTTTCTATCAATGAGCCCGTACTTTCTTGGGTCCCTTTTTACAAAAAATTGAGATATACTAGCTGTTTTTAGTCCTTTTCATGATGCATATTTTTGTTAGAAAACCAAAATTTTTGTATTTCTTTCAGAATTCTCGGGCATATATTCTGTCTGGACCCAGTGAATGGTTAATTTGTGATCTATCAATTAGCCCTAGAAGTTCATACCTTGTCCCCCCTATTTGACTCATTTCTTCAGAATCTCTCCTCTCAAAATAGCAGTTCTGTTGTGAGCAACTGTCCAGTGTCTTCCACAGTGAAGAGAGCTTTAAATAATTAATTTAACTTCTTTGCCCTCCCTTCCCTTGTTAAACCTTTCACACTGTGCTGTCTAATGGTCCAGCCATCTCACTGGCTGGTTTTCTGCTTCTGTTGTATGGAAAGAAACTTTCACGGTTAATCTTATTAATTTGCACCTCAAATTCTTTTTTTTTCATTTGCCTCATTATCAACTTAAATCTGCTTCATCAGAGCATGTGCTCCTTTCTGTTCTCCTCATTTGGACAAAACTTAATTTTAAAAAAATACAGATTTCTTGCTATTATTGCTTTTTTGACTGTGCTTCTAAACCATGTTGGCATCCTCTTGGATTTGTTAGCATTTCTCTTGAACTGCATTGTACTCCTTAGCTGACCCTGGTTTCACATAAATGCCAAGCACCCTGCTGAGGTCTGACCCTCCTGACCCTCTCTTTCAACTTCCTCCTCATTAATCCCTTCACTTTTGAGAAGTTTCCTCTTTGGAAATCAAATGTGACCACAGTGGACATTCTGAGAAACCTTCTACTTGGACAGATGTTGAATTAGACAGTGCTCTGGCCACTGCTCTGAGCACTGTGGCGACACTCGCATCTTTTACTTTGTGTGTGTTAAGTGCCATCAAGTCGCTTCTGACTTACGGCAGCCCTATGAATGAATGAGCTAGTCCTGAGCATCCTTGGGCGGGTACTGATTCCCCAGTACAAAGGAAAAGAACAAACAGAGATAGTATATTTATCACTCGCCAATGTTCCCTCTAAGCTGTGGAGTCCTGTGGGCAGACATTCTACTTTGTGAGCTACTGGCATTAAAGTTGTGAGCAGGTAGTTTGGCTGCTGCATAAAATTAGTTTGCTCTGGAGCCATCTTTCCTGAGCTAAGACAAAAACGTGTGAGCTGGAGGCTAAAAAACTGTGAGCTAGCTCACACTAACTCAGCTTAGAGGGAACACTGTCACTCGCTCAGCACTGCTTGTAGATCCATTAGTAAACTAAGCCCATGTTTATAATTTAGAGTGAAGGTGTGGCTACTTCTTAAATTATTACTGTTGGAAGTTTTGAGCCAGATACTGGATTCTGTACTTGAACACTCTGTCTAATAGCTATTTTAGAATATGTATAGCTGGCATCTTTAGAGCATTCATGTTGTCTTCCCTAGACACTACATTTTTCTAGTTTTCTCACTTTCCAAAGGAAGACAAAGGGGGGGGGGACGACAGAATTCAAGCTTAGATCCCATGTGATATTCTCCAGTCTTGATGTTTTTCTTCTTTTTGGAATTAATGTGCATGTAGTTCCCTAGAGAAATAACTCTTCCCGAGTGTTAAGAAGTTGTCCGATTTCCTCTTTTTTCTTTTTCCCTGAGCAAAATGTGAGTGGGGGCATGGGGCAGGCCATCCTGCATAGCAGATGGAAACGATTTTAGAGGAGGAGGAAAAGATGGCGGGGGGGGGGGGGGATCTCAAAATGAAAATAATCAGTGTTTCTGTTTACAAGGTTTAAGCAAGGAGATGAAAACAAAATCAAAACAAGATGCCAGAGTGGGCTGGCGAAGGGGCCGTGTGCCTGAGCTGCTTGCTTGCAGCGCAGCCCGGCCAGTGTGGTCCACCCACTTGTTAGAGGGTTGAACTTGGACCTAGGCTCAGATGCTTACTGGGCTGTGCGAACTCACTGGGTGGCCCAGCTCAAGCAAGTGGGGAATCACTCTTCGCCTCAGATCTCCATGTGCAAAATGAGAATGTGAACGGAGATCCACCTCACAATACAGGCGACCACAATGCAAGGGGGCTCCCTTTGGCTCTCTTTTTGATTGCAAGCTCTGGGTACTTGTGAGAATGAGTAAGACTCTCCCACTCAGTCTCAGAGATGGCGTCTTAAATAGAGAAAACATTTAAGGGGGAGGGAGTGACAGATGCTCACGGGATGCTAGAGTCAGACTTTAAGAGGGCTCCTGTTCCTTTAAATGTTGCAAACAAGTCCATCTCCCCCCCCCCCCAGGTAGAGGAAAGCCCCACCTCAAGTGGCATACTTTGGAGCTTGCTTCCTGCAATGGAAGGAGGAACATTTTGGGTATTTTTGCAGAAGGTCAAAATGTTTTAGGTCATCCCTGGATGCCTCAGGAAAGAAGTCTTGCCAAGTGCACCTCCCACTTCACCAAAAATACTATTTGGTGCATTTTTACCCCACTTTCCAGCCACCCTGACAGAAATTAAAAAAATATGAATCTCAAATTTTTATTTATTTATTTATTTAACCCATTTATACCCTGCCTTTCTAAAGGTGTTTGACCTCTGTGAGATCTGTGTTCAGGGTAGTTGGCTGCTGCCCCCTTTCCCCCTGGCCACTTGTTGCTGGATCTGGGAAAGGTAGATGACACCTGGGACATGCACCTTTTAAAATATTTCCTTGGTTGTAGTGGTGGGAGACTGGGTTGCTGCCTTGCTCAGGATCTCATTGATCACTCCACCAGGGGATGGGAAAGAATCTTCCATCTGGGTAAGATTAATTAGTGGGGGGGGAGGAAGCTGGTCTTCCTCTTCAAAGTGTTGATTGATCAAACCATTCAGAGTCATTTGCTGCAGGTTTTCTTCTTGTGCTTGCCTGCTTCTTCTTGCTTGTGGCACTTACCATGGGCTTGGATTGGAGGCTGGTGGGTGGATGATCAGGTGATTCAGAGTGGATGGCTTTTGGTCTTTTGCAACTCTATAATTCTATTATGTTGATTACTCATACCTTGTTAGGCTTTTAAACAGCTGCTGGGCAAAAAGGACATTTGTAACTTTCTGGAAAAAGGACATTTATAACTGGTGAAAAGTACATTTATAACTGATGGGGTAGTTTGGTGCAAGAGAAAGGTGTGCCGTGGATGCTCAGAAATAGACTCTTTTATTATTTCACACATTTCTGGCTGACATATCTTTCCATTGAACTTCTAATTGGCCCAGAGCTTCATGGAGGTCTGGGTTAAGATGCCCTGAGATCCTATTAATATGTTGCAGAGTGGGTTATAGATTATAAAAACAGAATAAAATATAAAGCAATACGTATTAGAGGTGGAGATCAGTATTATGTCCATTTTACAGACTGGGAACTGAGGCTGAGAATGGCCCAAGGCAGAAGCAAGAGTTGATGAGGCACCCAATTCTTAGCCCTTGATTCCCCTTCCGCTCAGGTTCTCAGGTTCCACAGTGGAGTGCTGTGCAGCCCTGCTCACATTAAACCTGCCTAATTTGTTCAGAGGGTTCTGGGGCACAGCTGTAGCTGAAACGAAGCCCTTGCAATTACAGGCACTTGCTTTGGCCTCTGCATCGCTTTGAAATAGATCAGATGTGTTCGGATCTGCCCTGCACTGCCCTGCACTGGAGCTGCATCTCTGTCCTGTCAGTCTCTGCCCCACCCCCTCGACCCTTCCTGCAGCTCAGGATGCTGCCTTCCAGAAGGGCACAATGTCAGCTTTGAGGGCAGGCGGTGGGCAGAGGCCAGGTGGCAGCTGGGTGGGGTGGCATGCCCTTTCCTGCTGGCTCCTGGGAGGGGATGTAAAGGCAAGCGGCAGTTAGTGTGTATGTTTCCTCCAGGAATTACAAAGCAATTTTGCCTGCACATGAGGGTTTTCTATAGAAGAAAAAATAAACAGATGTTGCCAAAGCCTGAATCCCATTAATCATCCTATAGCAATGAGTCAAACTGCTAAAAAAAAATATCCTTCAACTTAGGCCAAGATAATCACATCCCAAATCTTGCCTCCAAACCGAATATCTCAGAGGGGAAGGGAATGCCTGAGCTCAGCAGCTGCTGGATTCCCACAGTTGCTGGAGTCTCCCTCTGTGGCAGGCCTTGAACCCCTGCATGGAAATGTGGCTTAAAAGTGGGTGCTAATTGCCATGGTCTTCTGAAGGGTGCAAGTATGGGGTAGCCTAAAACGTGGCTCAGGTCTCTAAGCCCCTTCTTCCTTGGCTAAGCTTCTGGCTTCATTTTATTGCAATGGTGGACTGTTCAGGAACATTCTATTGGTGTGGGATGAGTCACAGAATGGTGAACAATGGTACACATTCTGTCAGGGGAAAAGGTCAGTCTGTTGGCAGCAAACATCCAATGGAAGCTAGGAAGAAGAAGAAGAGTTGGATTTATAGCCTGCCTTTCATGGAGTCTCAGAGCGGTTTACAATCTCTTTCCCTTCCTCTCCTCACAACAGATACCCTGTGAGGTAGGTGGGGCTGAGAGAGCTCTTAGAGAACTGCTCTTCGAAGAAAAGCTCTGAGAGAACCGTGACTGACCCAAGGTCACCCAGCTGGCTGCATGTGGGAGTGGGGAATCAAACCTGGTTCTCCACATTACAGTCTGCCACTCTTAACCACTACACCAAACTGGCTTTCAGTTAGGAGGGACTGCAACATGTGGGAAGGGAAAGGGGATGGTGGCAAAGGGCATGGGGAGGTGCCAATGGGGCATAGGGAACTCTGGATCCTGGAAGAGCTATGGATTTATGTGCCTGACACCAGTTCAGATATAGAAAAGGCAAGGTATTGTGCTTTTGGCAATCCTCCCTCTTCAGTTGAATATTGGCAAAGGGACTGATCATGACCAGGAACCGTCTTTCATTAACAAAATAGTATCGGGTGGAACAGGATCAGCAAGGCATAATAATAGCCTTTCCCCACTTCTGTTATCGTCATTAAAGCCGTTTTAGCTGCAGATACCAATTGGGGAAGGAAAGGGGGGGGGGAGAAGCCCAAAATGACTAGTGCGGGGCAGCTGGGTGGAAGGAACTGGATGATCTAATATCCTAGGTCTTTATTTTGCTATTAATTTTTATGAGCCTGCTCTCTAGGATGGGGGTTTACAGTTTCTGGAGAAGAGGGAGGTTAAAAGGGCAAGGGTAGAACCAGAAATATGGAAGGAAGTTCAAATCCCTAAAATGCATTGTGTAGAAATTTGAAGCTGGGAGGGGAATTGCTAAGGAGCCTTGATTTTACCTTGTTACCTGACGAACAACGCCAGCTTCATGATCGGTGCAATGAACAGAAGATGTCTGTGGATATACCTAGGTTCAATCCACCCTCCAGATCTTTTTAGCAGTGATCTGAATACATCTATGCAAGTGCATGGTGGTTTGCCAACAAGGGGCCTGCTTTCTTCAGAGAAGCTCAGTTGAGGGAGCACATCAAAGGCCCCCCAGGTAGAAGGGCACCCCAGCTATTGTTTCAACAATGTGCCTGGTTTTTAAGGTGGGTCTGATTGCTTGTTCTCTTGCAGGTAATGGCATCACACTGGAAGGGGCAGTCCCATCTGAGCAAGACAGTCAGCCAAAGCCAGCCAAGAGAGCACGGACGTCCTTCACAGCAGAGCAGTTGCAGGTAGAGAGCCCGGGTGGGTGTGGCAGTAGGGTGCAGGAGGAGGATGCTGGCAGTGTGCCTGTATTACTTTGCGTATACTTCTTCTCCTAGGTCATGCAAGCACAGTTTGCTCAGGATAACAACCCAGATGCTCAGACCCTTCAGAAGCTGGCAGACATGACAGGTTTGAGCAGGAGAGTTATTCAGGTGAGGCCCTGAATCTGGCTTATGAATAGAAGAAACTGTCTCATATAGAGTCAAATTATGGGTCTTTCTAGCTCAGTACTGTCTCCTCTGACTGACAATGACTCTCCAGGGTTCCACAAAGAAGATGGTCTTTCCAATACTTGCAACTTGGCACCCTTTAACTGGAGATGCCAGGGATTCGACTGTGAACCTTATACATGTGCTTTAAACACTGAATCACAGACCACGTGGCAACCAAAGTAGCTCCCCTGGAGTAAAAAACAGCAACAGCCTAATTGGATCACACCAAAAATCCATCTAGCATTTGGGCTCTGACAATGGGTAGCAAGATGTTCTTGAGAAGCTTGGAACATACCATGACGGAAAATTCTATCCAGTTATTGTCTTTTGAGTGATGGAATGTGTATCGAGGGGGCAGTCAGAGAATGCTGACCAACAGTACAAATACTGTGATTTGTCACAGTCAATTTGGTGGAGGGGAAAAAATCAGGCCAGGGAAGACTGTAAGCTGTCAAAAGGTTAAGGCAGCATGAACTAATATACTAGACTGCTGGGCGGATGGCTTAGGGGTGAAGTTTGATTTAAGTGCTGATCTATATGTTTAAGAAATATATGTGACATTTTCCTGGAAAATTATGATTATGAATGGATGTGGAGTGATGATATATTTTGATGCTGTCCTGTAAAAAATTCCCGCCATGTAGAAAGCTAGCTTATCAGGTGGAACCTGTTTCTCTTTCTCCTAATGAGCAAGCTTTCTAGGTGCAGACAGTTTTTCACATGGGGAGCTTCCAAATGCATGAGCTGTCCCCCAACTCTGTTTTAAATAGGGCAGTTTTAGAAGGGCTGTACCACAAACTATCCCTGAACTCTGAACTGCTGAGGATACAACAAAACAGCAGATCCTTGGGACAATCTCCATTGGTAGGTCAAGACTAGAATGAAGCAGAAGGAGGTAGACATTAAGATTTTGTAATATTTACTTGTAAGAGAATTATGTATTGACAGAGTGCATTTTTACTATCACAAACGTGCATTGGCCTAAAGCGACACGTAGATTCCAAGTGAAGGTGTGGTTTTACATGTTGTTGTGGTTTTACGTGTAGAAGCCAAGGCCACTGTTCTCAAGGATGAGGGCTTCCAGGACACTCACTCTACCAGAAAAAGACATTCTGAGCGATCTGGTTTCATCTTAGCTCCATTACCGTCTGTCTCTATCCTACATTCACCTTAATGACCAACCGGTTTCCCATCCCTACATAGTCCATGTAGTGTATAATTCTTTGTCCATTACAGGCAGTTGGTTCCCTTCCTCGAATGCAATGACTTGGCAACAGTAATTCATGCGATGGTCACCTCGAGATTGGACTACTGTAATGCTCTCTACATGGGGCTGCCCTTGTCGCAAATCTGGAAACTACAGCTGGTGCAAATTCTGTGGCCAGGCTTTTAATGGGTTTTCCAATGTGGGAGCACATTCAGCCTGTGCTGAAGGCACTGCACTGGCTACCAATAGCATACCAAATTCATTTCAAGGTGCTGGTTCTTACCTTTATGGTCAGGGACCTACATACCTGAGGGACCGCCTTTCCCCACATGTTCCTCAGAGAGCACTGCGGTCAGGGTCCCAATATCAATTGACCTTCCTTGGACCAAGGATGTCAGGTTGGCTACAACCAGGGCTAGGGCCTTCTCGGTGGCGGCTCCTCTCTGGTGGAATGAGCTCCCAGAGGAGATAAAGGCCCTGCGGGACCTTATGCAGTTCTGCAGGGCCTGTAAGAGGGAGCTCTTCCGTCAGGCTTTCAATTAGGAGCCACCCTGAGAGAGAACCATGTTTCCTGAAGACATCAAAACAACCTGTGCCAGCTGCACAATGTTAGGCCTATGGGCTGACTGAGAGGATGGTACACTGAAGGTCGATCGCCATCTTTTATCCTTAACTGTTAGCACCTTTTAATGTTATAATTGTTTTACATTGTTTTAGGATTATCTAAATTGTTTACTGTGCGTTTTATTCTTTTGTAAGCCGCCCTGAGCCGGACTTGGCTGGGAGGGCGGGGTATAAATCGGATAATAAATAAAATAAAATAAACAAATTACGCAGGGACCACGTCACCTCTGTTTTCTATACAGCACTTAACGTTGTTAATGCCAGGCTGTGTTCATTCTGGTCCTCCTCTCAAAATGCCCTTGTCATGGGTTTTCTCTCCTTCCAGGTTTGGTTTCAGAACTGCAGAGCACGGCATAAAAAGCATACGCCTCAACACACGGTGCCCCCTTCTGGAGCCTCCCAGTCCCGCATCCCTTCAGCGCTGTCTGACGATATCCACTATTCCCCCTTCAGCAGTCCTGAGAGGGCCAGGATGGTGACGCTCCACAGCTACATAGAAAGTATGTGTTGACGTGTGCTCTCCAGGCATGGCTCGCAGTAGCGTAGCGCAGGGGCTTGTCAGGCTGAACTCCATGCCAGGAGGCACCTAGTTCACATGTCACTTCTGCCACAAATGGTGACCTTAGGCCAAGCCACTCCCTTCCTCTCAGCCTCAGCAACCCCCCTCCCCATCTCCACTGCCGGGATTATAATACTGGGCAGCATCACAAAAGGTTGCAAAAAGACAAGTGCCTTATCAATGCTAAGTATTATTACTAAGGCTGGTGAGGGAACTAGGACCACTTTGAGAAGGAAGGAAATAAGTTGGCCTGTCAAAAGGATGTGTGATTTCTATGCAAACTGGAGAGGGGCATCTTGCCCAAGGTAGGAATGGTCCCTCTTTTGCTAGTTGTGCCTTACAACAGCACAAGCATGTCCACCCTGAGGATGTGAAATCTTGTTTTAGCACTACACAGTTAAATTGTGGGGTGATCACATATGGTTCAGAAGGCAGTCAAGGACCTGCTTTGCATGCAGAAGGTTCTTGGCTCAATCCCTGGCATCTCCCCTTACAAGGGTCTCAGGTAGCTGGTGCTGGGAAAGACTTTTCTCCACCTGATACAGGGAAAGCTGCTCCCAGTTAGAGGAGACTAACTAGTCTGATCCAGGGTAAGGTAAATTTGTCAGTTCAATCCATTCTTGTTTACATGAACCTGGACCTGGTTGTGATGAATCCAACAGGGACTAGTTCTAGTCACCAGGTTTCTGTTGGGCACTCTGTTCTAAGGAAAGTTGGGCCTGGAGTACCTATTGTCACTGCAGGGGCACTAGAGTAAGGTACAGAAGTTATAATCAACATTCATTGTGACCAAAGATCAGCCAAGGAGGTACTGAAGTAGCAGTGGAGGAGAGAAGGGCCACCCGCAGAGTCTCAGCATAGCTATTGTGGCGCACAGGCTTCCAGGGGAGGCACAGGTCCATATTTGGCGAATGGCTGTCTGCTCTCTGTACAGAATGCAGGATGATAACTTTGGTAAAAATCTCTTCTGGCAAGGCTTGTTTCTTCTTTGTTAAGGATTCATAACTTGTGTGTTTCTTACACGTCATCCACTGCCCTCAGCACTGCCGGTTCCATTAATAATGGGCTGCAGAAGGATGTGACGGGGTGGTGGTAGCTATCTACAAATAGTACTGCAGTAATCTCTGGCACAAAAGAATAAGGCCCGAAGCTGCCTTCTCGTTCACAGGTCAGGTACAGTGTGGACAAATGCACTGCCGGCTTCCTTACGCTGCCCCGCCTGTGCACCTCAAAGCTGACATGGAAGGACCTCTATCAAGTAGGGGGGAGAAGGTAAAGGCTATCTTTCTTCCCCTTCCAGGTTGTACCAAAGGAATCACTTGTCCACAAACTCCACAATGTTCCCCCTGCCAGAAGACTTGCTTGTCTCAGACCCTGGACAACTGCCAGCACAGCCTTCTGATTGGCTAAAAGCCCTGTATAAATTTTCCTGGGTTAACCCATTCCTGGCCATTCTGCCTTCTTGCATGTACAAAATGTCCTCCAAGTGTTGGCATTTGAAATGCTTATGTTAGCCCAATGTGGAAGATCTTCAGCATCAGTCAATGAACATGTGGGCAGCGTTAACCCTTGACATGCTCACTTTGGGGGTGAGCCCCTGTCTTGTGCAGTCACTGTGTCCCTCAGGTATACTTGCAGCATCCTAGGGAGACACAGCGACAAGGACAGGAGTTATGGCAGCCACACAAAATCACAGGCACAGTGGTGACTGGAGAAGAGAAAGACTCTCGGAGGAGGGCTTTTTTGGGGAAACCTCATAGTTTTCCATACAAAAAGTCCTAGGTTCGATCCCTAGCACACCCAGTACCAGATACAGGACAGCAGGGAAAGACCTCATTGTCTGGATACCTGGAGAACTGGCAGCTGGAGTGGACAATATTGGACAAGATGGACCAGTGTTGTAGCTCATTCTAAAGCAACTTTAGATGTTCAACTGGAGTGGCTTTGCTTGAGCATGAGCCCCTCACCTGACCACAGTCCATTTGGTCTGAATCTCAATTCCCAATGAAGTTCTCCTCCCAATGGTGTTTGTTTCTGGAGGGGAGGAGGAGAGCAGTAACAGTGCTAGCTAGGCCTATTGAAGAAAGATGCAGTGCTCCTTGAACTTGTGCGAACAGCTAATGCAGACTGCTATGGAAAGCAGTACTTGACTACAAGATCAGAGAGCTTAAACTAAAGCTGGTGAGGGCAAAAATAAAGCTTGAGCAACATGGGGTGGGAAGAGGTCTACTAATGTTGAAAAAGGAGCTGAACTGCACGCTAGGGGAGGGGATAGCAATCAGTGTTCCCTCTAAGCTGAGTTAGTGCGAGCTAGCTCACAGTTTTTTAGCCTCTGGCTCACAGATTTTTGTCTTAGCTCAGGAAGGATGGCTCCCGAGCTAACTAATTTATGCAGTAGCCAAATCACCTGTTCGCAACTTTAATGTCAGTAGCTCAGAAAGTAGAATTTTTGCTCACAGGACTCCACAGCTTAGAGGGAGGATTGATAGCAACCCCCCTCCTTCTTCGTTTGTTTTTGTTTGGCTTAAAAAGTCCCCAAGTATTCTTCAATGAGTCATGTGTGTTGCCTGATGGTGTTGCCTTCCAAAGCTGCTGAATTCTGGTGTATGGTTTTCCTCACAGGTCATCCTCTTCCAGTACTGATGGCAAGCGTTCTTCCTGATCTCCTGGGGATGCTTGTGGTGGCACTTCTGCTCAGACGCATGCCCTTCCATCCATGGCAACCATGGGCCGTCAAGATGTGGCAATCCACTTCTTCTGATTTGGCACTTCAGTCACAACCAATTTGATATCTTCTAACAGCTTCTGGTGCTACCGTCTGCTGAACACCTGGCCCTTGTGAGCTTGTTGGCCAGCGAGGACTACAGGGCAGCGCCCTCTCTGAACGAAGCAACCAACAAGCCTGCTACTCATGCTACTGTTCCTAGAACTGAGGCAAGGGAGACTACTGAAACCCAAACAGAGAATGTATTTGTCTACCAGCAGCTAACCATGTCGGGAAATAATCCAAAGCATCTGGCCTAACGTGTTCATTCTAACATGCTGATTGCCACTGGTGTAAACCTGTGTAAGAATCCAGTCTATTGACAAGCCTGTTCAGCCTTTATCTACACTCTGGGAGGCTGAATTCTTTTTGTTTTATTTTGTTTTTTGAGGGTGATATCCTGACAGAGTTTCCATAGCAGGAACTCCAGCTCTCTATCTGTCAAGTGCACTGCAACCATCGGGTCTTTGACTGTACCTCTAGGAAATGTCTGTCCATCTTCAACAGGCGGGGCTTGGGAGTGGTGGTTATACTATGTTCTGCAGCCAAACACTGACAATTTGTATCAAGAAAATCTATTCTAGGCTGTTCTCAAACCACTAGGTGTACCTCTAACCTAATCTTCGGGGGGGGGGGGAGACTTCCTAATTCCTACGAGCCAAAAATCACATTTTTAAGGCACCAAGCACCTCTCTAGAAATAAACAAATGAATAAACTCCCTAATGTCAGCATGAAATTTTTAGGAGCTGGGGATGGCTACATGCCCGGGATTTTTCCAGCACTGCAGAAACTGTTAGCAAAACTGGAATTTTAATTATGGGTCTCTTTATTTTTAAGCATTTGATTCTTGTAAAAAAAAAGGCTCTTGCTGTAAGGAGCTGCTGAGTCAGATCACAGTATGCCCATAGTACTGCCTATTCTGGGGTCTCAGGCTCACCCCACTACACAGAGGTGGCTGTTGCATTCATCACCAGTGTGTGGACTAGGCTTAAATTAGAGTGATCCTTATGTTCTCCACTTTCAGATCCCCTTCTTGCTTCTGTGGGGAGGGGGGGACTGCTTTTGCATCTGAAAAGGTGCAGGGGAGGGGAGAAGAGCTCCTGGGGCCGCCACACTGCACACCCAGTCCGGATTAGGGCCTTGTGCCAATTTTTAAAGAACTACAAATGGTTTTAAAATGGTGTCAGTGGATATGGGATGGACCAGGGGATGCTGTCACTTGCATCTGTGTTGTGAGTTCTCTCAATTTTTTTTTTTTTTTTTAAGATTGCATTCCAACAGCTGTAGTCCGATGACCAAATTCACAAGTTGAGTACTTTCCAGCTACTTCTGTTTGGAGCTGGAGAGGTCAGTATGGAAATCAGTGATTTCTTAGCCTCCTTTCTTGAGGTCTGTTTCTTGCTGAGTCAAAGGGAGAAGAGCAGGTTCCTCAGCCTTTGAGATTCTTTGCTGTTTTGGTCATAGCAGATCTCCATGGTATAGGCTCTCTCTGGTCTTTGTGACTTGGAGTGGGGCCAGTATGAACAGGCTTTCTGCAGGGAAAGTGGCCTTGCTGAGGGAATAAGGTCCCTGCTTGTCTTGAACAGTTCTAATATTTTCAGTACCGTGCCATGGTGCTGTTTGGATCAGTCCAGAGCAGATCTGTGAGCTGCAGAGATGCTAGTGTGCTGTGCTCTTAGTGGCATGTCACTTGGGAGAGCTCCTGGTTTTTTAAATTAAAGTGTGAGAAGCAAACTGTCTGACACCTTTATTATCAGCATTCAGTAACAGAGATTCTGATGGAGTTCTTTTTTTTTTTTACTCCATTACAGACCCAGATCAGGCTGGTACATGGCTCAGTGTACCTTGTAAGGAAATAGCTAGGACCGCCTTGAGAATTTTGTCCAAGTTAAGCTCCAACAGCTTTGCAAAACTGCAGACAATTTATTCTTGAATGAGTGATATACATGGAAAATACAAACTATACTGAGAAGGTGAAACCTCCCATGATTTCTTTCATTCAGCAATTTTATCAGTCAATGTATTTCACTCTAATTGATGGCATGGAATGAAATTCTTATCTCTTCCGTCTTTTTAAAAGTTTGAACAAAGATGCTCCTCACACACTTCTTGCTGAAGGAGGCTGTAAGGTATGAAGGCAGACTATACCATGATTCACAGTTCGAGGGTGTGTGTGGTGCCTTTGGGCTCATACGGAACTCCATGCAAGCAAGGGCTTTTCTATTACATTTCAGGGTCAGCAAACACATTGTCAACTGCATGGGCAAGCCCTTTCTCATGCAGAGATTACTGTGTATGTTGCAACCCCTGGAGCTTTGGACTGTAGCCATAAATAATTTTCTAAAATCTCCCAACGGATTTTAGCAACGCAGATCCAGATCATACTCTCATACAACCAAGATTTCTGGCTAGAATTCAGCTAGAAATATTCCAACAGCCAGGAAATGGAGTCATCTGAAATATGAATTGTAAAATGTCATGGATTTTTTTCTTTTCCCCAGACTATACTGAAGAAACCCCAAATGGCTTGGCTAGCAAACTGTTCCTTAGAGAGGAACAAATAACGGCTTAGGCTGGGTATGAGTAACGCATACAAAGGCAAAATTTGCAATGGGACACAGAACTCAACTTTGTGAGAACATATGTTTTTCATTTTCTAAGCCCAAGTTTCTAGTCCTTAAGGCTGAGAAAACAGTGACATCTCTGGTGAGATCTCCGATGGCACAGCGAGTATTATGGATTTCCAGTGGCCAGAGAACAAGGCTTCAGTGATATGCACAACTCTTAAAGCAGAATGAATCATGCAGATGTACTTGACTTGCATAATGTATATAGGTTGTAGGGCTTGATGGGATTCTGGAAGCCTTGTCCCTCCTCTCCCTCTTAGCTTGGATTATAGCTGAACACGGGATGCCTCTGAGCCTGCTATAAGCTGGGCTCTGGGGCTGAAAACGGCAGAGGTGCCATTTTTACGCAGCCAGGCCTCGTACGGCAATGCCAGCTGCAGACACTTAACCAAGTTGTCTTGGAAAAACAGCAGATTGTTTTGTTTGTAGCATGTTGCGATAGTGCATGTCTTGGCTACAGTGGCTAAAAATACCCTTCTGGAGAGCAGGCAGTCAAGACGGATATTTATTTAAAGAGAGAGAGAGAAAGAGAGAGAGAGAGAGAGATTGAGAGAATTTAAAAAAAAATGTAAAGCACTTTTTTTTGTAAAACCAATGTCTGTTTTGTTACCCACTTTTAACTGTTGTGCTTTGTAAATGTCTTATTTGTGTAATAAATAAAGTTAATGAAAGTCGAAGTGCTGGCACTTACATCAAGGAAAACTGTGCAATTCCCTTTTCTTTCATTTCTGAAATGCTTCTGCAGCTTGCTAATCAAACAATAACCCTCCCCGTCATCTTTTGTCTCCTCTCTTATTGCTTGTTTTAGTGCTTCGATGCTAGTGGCAAATCGTTTTCATTTTCCCTGTCAGCACACCAATTACTAAAAACATAGTTCCTGAGCTCACCGTTACAACAGCCAATTAATATCCCGGTGTAAAGAGAAGGATCCACCGGCAGCTTGTGGGTGGATGTGTGACAAGGGTATAGTGCTGTGCTAAAAGACGGCTGTGGTGGATTTGACACAGCCTTGTTAGTTAATTCTTTTGTGTTCACAATGTAGACTACGAAAAGCCTACCGCTTTACACACCTTGTGGGAATATTATATTGAGTTGAGGGTGATTAGTCACACAATTTCCTCTCAATGCAGCTGATGAAGTGAAGCTTTACATTTTATTTCCTTAGTAAAGGTAACAAAAACTACCTTAATGTAGAAATTATAGGGGCTGCGTCATTCGACAAGGAAGTTAGACACCAACAGTGCTTGTGATTCTTTGCTTCGCTGAGGGGGCTCATGCTTTCGGTACAAAGCCAACAATCTCGTCCCAACCTTTTCGGCAAGTACGGATGATTTGCTCATGTTCGTTGTCATCTGAAGGGGGGAGGGAGGACACACAATGGAAGCATAAAAATTCATTGTATTCAGATGCACCACCCCATATCAGTGGCTTCCTCGTCATCTTTCTGCCAAATCAGCAAATGCATCGTTCACAAGAGTGTTTCCAGCTTATATGAACCACTTGGGTTACAAGATAAGCTGAGCAGATTTTTGAGACATAAAAATACCTGAAATTTTTGAAGGCACTGGAAGAAAAAAAAGGAGGGGGAGGATTTGGGGGAGGATTTGGGGGAATCAAAACACCTGCAGTGGCTGGTTAGTTCCAATAAATACTAACTGGTATTTTGGTTAGCGCATAAAAATACTATTTAGTAGGGCTGTCGGTTGATTAAAGCGTTTAGATGATTAATCATCTCCCTTTTAACCCATCAATTACTTAATTTAATCTGAATAATTTTGTGTATTGCCAAAATCTTGACAGAGGGGCCTTTATGCAAGTGGAAGGCAGTGTGAGAGAGCATACAATTTAATCAGCTAACGCCTGCCCTACATTGTGACAGGGAAACACCCTCTTCAATATTTTCAGTCCCATTACAGTGACATCCTGGAACCAAAAGAGCCTCAAAAATAATAAATCTGCCTTTAATTTACATATTCACCAATTAAAACTGGCCCTTGTTGGTTAATCAACTACCATTTTTGTTGTTTGATCTACCAATAAAAGTTTGAAACCCTGCTATTTCATTTGATGAAGTGAGCTTTGACTCTTGAAAGTTAATGCTGCAATGAATTTTGACAGTCTTTAAGGTGCCAATATTCTCCTATTTCATTTCTCCCCTATTTCATATTTCTGTATAATTAGGTTGCAATCCAAATTAAAGCTAACTATGCATGCAGGGCTCATTTAATACAATACTTACAAGACTTACAGCTCCAGGACTGAAACTTTAATATATTTTTCGCTTGGCAATTATAAACAGACCTTACAAGCTGGGGATCCATGAGGAATTATGGCCAGGGGAACAGCTCGGGGAGACCCCACCATTCCAATCTCCCTCTCCAGGATTCTCTGAGTTTTCTGGGGCTTGAGCAACCTGATCCCCCTCCCCCAAAGAAACACTTCTGCCCCTTTAATTGACATTTAGGTACTCTCAGCGCTCTGTCTTCTATGGAACATGCCCTTCTTTGGGGTCCTCCACTTTAGTTAATTCATAGTCATATTTTTCTGTCTACATGGGGAGTGTTTTAAGGAGGCAGAGACCCCTGCTCCCTATGGCTGGCCCTGTGTGGTTTTCATCATCTATTTGAGGGCTGAACACTCACATTTTGATCCTAAATTTCCCAAGAATTATGTTCCAACAATTTCAGTGGGTTTAACTTCCAAGTACTTAAGCTGGTTTATCAGCCTAAATTGAAATCATAACCCTAAAAATATCTTTCTGGACAAAATCTACTGTGAAGCTCTCTTATACATGCTCCAGTGAAGTGAATGGGACTGACAGTACTCCATCCAATGGGGCTTGTTCAAGAGAACTCACTTCTGGGATGTGCCCCTTAACAGTTAGCTATACACTCTTGGGAATGACAGTACACTTTACTCCATGTTTAATTAAAATCAGTGCCTTGGAGAGCCATCACATCTGAAATAACCATGCTTCATTTATAGTCTGCCTTTCTCTCCAATAGGGACCCAAAATAGCTCGCGCCATTCTCTTCTCCTCTATTTTATCTTTACAACATCCCTGTGAGGGAGGTTAGGCTGCGAGTTAGTAACTGGCCCAGGGTCTCCCAACAAGTTTCTATGGCAGACTGGGGATTCAGACCTGGCTCTCCCAGATCCTAGACTGGCACTCTAACCTCTATACCACAGTGGCTCTTTCAGCAAGGTCCTGGGCCTTGCTGGTGGTAGCTCTAGTGCTATGGAATGGACTACCTGAGAAAGCATGGAGGGCACCTCCTTTAACTGTTTGTTGGAAAGCCTGGGCATCTATAAGTTAGGAAAGGCTAAAGATAAAAAATGTGTGGCACTCTGTTTTTGTTATGTCTTGTGCATTGGGTTTTCCTAGTGCAGAATTGTAAGCAGTTTGAATTGAGGAAATGCAAGAAAGAAATGTACAAATTAATAAATAATAGGATGGTTGAACAGGAGTCGGGAGCCAGATTCTACATCCATCACATTATTCAATCCATTAGACCATCCTGGTTCCTAAAGCCAAAATTACTTCTTTGGTAAATTTATGGGGTGGCGGGGCAGCGGACACTAACCCTATTCCGTAACATCATCTTCTTTTCAAGGCCGATTAATATTTCTTCTTCCACATTCGAGGGTATTCTTTGTGTGCATATGGCCCAGAATTGCCAGTCACTGACTGATTTATTCTTATAGGGCCATCAGTGTGGATGGTGCTTTATATAACACAACGATTTTCTGTCCCAACTAGCTTACAGTCTGAAGCTGTGGTTCTCAGCCTGTGCGTGGGTCACAAGACCAAGGAGGAGGAGGAGAAATAGGGTGAGTTGGGATGGTCTGGGAGGCGTCAAGGTAAGTTTGGATTTGCTCCTGCACACTGTGTGAAACGGCCACGAAATACAAGCCTGTTGCTCAATAATGCTATGTATTTAAAAATACTAAACTAGTTCAGTGTTGGCTGATATGAGAGTCATGAGTTTTTATATCTGGATTAAGAAAGTGGTGTGGAGTTACTCTATTTGTTAGGAAAACTCTTGCAAGTAAGTTTAGAAGTATATCTCACCTCAGAGAATTTGAGAACCGCTGGTCTAAAGTCGGACGGGGGAGTCAATAAAGCACAAAATGTAACACCCAGTGCATTACATTGTTCCAGTTGTATATGAATGGATGTGATTTTGAATAGGTGAATTACAAAATGCAGGCACCCGAGCTGTCCTCTTGGGAAACAGCACGGCCTCTCCTGAGCTAAAAAATGACTGGGATGGGGACCAGGAGCAGGAAAACAACCTTGTAGTCAAGTTATGTTGCCTAGCCAAGAGTGAATTCACCCATGCCACTGTGAGAACTCCTTTACCCTTCTCCTGCTGTGAAAAATAGGAAAGCTGCTCTAAATATGTGTATATCAGATATGAAAAACAGAAAGGTGGTTCAGAATGTGATTGTACCAGGTTCCTGAGTGGATTGAAGGTGGCTTTACCACTGCCTGCCAACTGTTCTCTGCTTCACAAGGGACATATGGATTTTGCCAGATTTCTTTGAAGGAGAACCAGTGGTCGGAACCTAGTCAGGACAGCTCTGCAGTGCCACAGGTCTGCACGGCTGCAGGAAAGTGCAAAGAAGCCAAAACCTGGTAGAAGCTAAAGAGTTAACTGATGGGCTCGCTGTACTTTTGCCACCCTAAAAGAAGACGCTGCCTGATAATCACTGTAGTTGTCGGGTATTTGAATCAGTGCAGCTGCAGCCTCTTCAGCAGTAACCCCTGAAACAAGACAAACTGGGTTTATTGTACTGAATAAGTCTTCAGGCTCCTCCCTGATTGTTCGTAATTGGCGGCCAGGGACTTAACAGCCTCTCGACCACCCTTTCTACTCTCTACCTGACTGTGCAGCTAACAATTTAAATCACAGATGCCGATCGGGCTTGGCGGCAGCTGCTTGTTAACCACGCCAGTCCCCTTGTGCTGTCGCCGGCGGCTTCCGTAACCCCGCAACACCAGGGTGAGCATGGAAAATCGCATTTTATCCATATTTAAAATGGAATTAAAGCCCGGAGTTTGATTAGTCCTCCCAGACAGCAAGTTGTAATTACTATTTTTTTTTTTTTGCAAACGGCAATTGTTGGGCTATATTAATATGAACGCCAAAGCACATCATCACCTTCAGATGTGATTTCCCCTCAAAAAATGGTGGGGGGAGGGAAGAAAGAGGGAATACAAATACTCTTTAATCAACTGGAAATTATCACCCTGGAGCAATTAGGCAGCTTTCCACATTGTGGGTGAGAATCATATCTGAGCTCATTTCTCTTTTAAAAGTTCATTCTTTTCCTATTGCCCCCCCCCTTGGCAGCCCCCACATGGCACAAATTCATGCTGAAATGGTGCGTGTGGGGGGCTGTTTAGGGGGATGGCTTTGCAAATCAAAACAAGGAGAGCTTCTTCTTGTAGAAAAAGAGAAATGAATAATTTCAGGGCTCCCATATGAGAATGCTGAGCTCCCAACTGCCCTGCCCCACAACGACAAGGTAAGGCCGGAGAAGTCTGCCCCTGGATGGCTTGTGTATGTTTTCTCTTTCAGTTAGAAATGTGAGCCTCATGCTCTTGCAGCAAAATGATGTATCCAACTAAAGGTAACTGAAGTACAGTCTTATAACTTTGCCTTGCTTGGTTGTTGCCACCATGGCCTATGGGAGACAGGGCTGCGGCCCCCAAGATGCGGTACACAAGATACTGCCAGAGGGCTTGCCTTCTTCATCCCCCCCCCCGCACTGTATGCTGCTGACCAGTGTTCCCTCTAAGCTGAGTTGGTGTGAGCCAGCTCACAGTCTTTTAGCCTCCAGCTCACACATTTCTGTCTTAGCTCAGGAAGGAGGGCTCCAGAGCAGACTAATTTATGCAGTAGCCAAATTGCTCGCTCACAACTTGAATGCCAGGAGCCACAAAGTAGAATTTCTGCTCACAGGACTCCCTCCAATGTTAGAGGGAACATTGCTGTTGACATGGCTATGTTGAGCGCTCTGCATGTTCCAATGCAAGGAACAGGGCAAAGATAAGCAGGACTGGGCTGCATCTTCTGTCTAGAGGTCTTATAAAGCTAAATGCACAGTCAAAGAGAAGTTAAAAAGGGATAACGCAGACAAAGCAAGAGGCTTAGTGGTACATGGAAAACAAAGCAAAGTGATAATGGGCCCGATTTCTAAGATCCAAAAATATCCCCAAACCAGCGCACAGGTTTGACAAACATAAAACGGTCACAGCGTCAACTCCAGCAACCTGAAAGATGGACGAAGCAAAAGGTTCTTCCTAGGTATATTCATTTGTGCAACAAACGTTCATGGCCAGTCT